CAGTCAATCTGTGTAGTGCCCACGCTGTGTGTTTTTCTAGTGTTCTGGGCTGTTTCTCAATACCTAGAGAGCATGACACACTTTTTCAGATTGTGAAACAGTGTCAACATACCATTTTTTTTTTCTCTGTTGTTTGCACAGTAACACTTTTTTGATGACATGCATAATAATAATAATGCATAATTAATTTACCAGACATTATCTGAATAATAATGGAAGACTTTTATTATTATTAAGAGAAAACTTTACAAGGCAAGTCTCTTGTTCGGTGTATTTCAAAATACTTTAGTTCCTGAAACTTAATAACAATGACCAGAAAATGCACTCACTTATATTACATTTCATTTAATTGATTTATTTATGTTTATTTCCCGTGTGCTGTTTTTTTATCAGTCCTAATGTGCACTGCGTTATTGTGATATATTTTTTAAATAATTAAAAAAGCCTGACCAGACAGTATTTTTGGCCATTTGTGCATGCTGTCCAGGTAGGCAGCTCTATATGTTTTGAGACAGTCTCTGCAGTATTATATAAGGTGAACATAGGGCTGGACAATAATTCAATATCAATATGTATCGCGATATATTTTTTTTCAATAACGGTGATATGATTTTTAAACACATTTCCGATATTTCGATATACATTACCAGTGTTTCCCATACATTGATTTATTTCTGGCGTTTGACTTCGTTGAATAAACATGAGCACTGCACGTTTCAAAATCAAAACGCGTCGCGGGTGTTTTATATGAATGTATCTCTGAAGGGAACCGACTGTCTTCAGAATAGTTTAGATGGCATTTTTATCTTTCTGAACTTTCTATTCATCAAAGAAACCTGAAAAAAATCTACTCCGCTGTTTTCAACATCATAATAATGTTTTTTGAGCAGCAAATCAGAATATTAGAATGATTTCTGAAGGATCATGTGACTGGAGTAATGATGCTAAAGCTCTGCTTTGAAATCACAGGAATAAATTATATTTTCAAATAGAAAACAGTTATTTTAAATAGTAAAAATATTTCAAAATGTTACTGTTTTTGCTGTATTTTGGATCAAATAAATGCAGGCTTGGTGAGCAGAAGAGAATTCTTTAAAAAACATTAAAAATCTTACTGTTCAAAAACTTTTGAGTGGTATGTTAGCCTATAGTTTGAAGTAAAAAATATTAATATTAATAAGGAGAGTCTGAGATTTATTTGACAGTGATTTCACATTTCTTGTTTGTATGAAGGCTAAATACCAATAAAAAGTGAACATTTATTTATTTGCGACATTTTTTTCCTAAAATATTATATCGTTTTATAGGAGTAGGTTTCATAGAGTTGGCAAATTCATTTTTCATACGTTTGTAGGTACAGACATCTGTTGTGGCCGTTCTTATGAGGCTTTTTTAATAGTGTTCATATCGATATCGGAATTATATCGTATCGACCGAAATTAAGAAATATATCGTGATATAAATTTTGGCCATATCGTCCAGCCCTAGGTGAACATGTACTCACCTGCAAACCTGATTTTGATCAGATCCAGGGGGTGTAACACCATTGTGGAAATAACACCCCCACTGAGTCCGGCTGCCAGATTTTCATATCTGATGTGTTTAGAGAGTCGCATGAGGCTTGTAGTAGGGGAAAAAGAAGAGCCAGAGGAGTCTGCAGCGACTGCAGCGTGTCTCTGCCTGGAAACGGTAGCGGTCATGTTTGTTTACGTACTAGAGACGGACTCCCTGAGCGGCAAGAGGCAGTAAAATACACTTCGTGAGTGCAGACAGCGGCACACTAATCCTGTTTTTTGGTTTAAAAAAAAAACATCAAGTAACCAAGGCCCCTATTAAATTCAGCAGCCACCGCTGGGCCATTTTTCTGCTCGCCGCCGTTCGTCTGACTTCCACTCCTCTCCACTGAGGAAGAAGGTAAATAACAGAGCGTGGTGACGCAGGCCGGTGGGCGGAGCGACGTGCGTCGCAGCAGCCAATCGCCATCGCATGTGGTGTGACGTAATTCACACCTCTCCACAGGCTCTAGAAATCTGTTTTGAGAGTGAGCGTGAGCTATATTTGAGGACGACGACTTATTATTACCAGTGTTGGGGAAAGTTCCTTTTAAAAGTAATGCATTACAATATTGCGTTACTTCCTACAAAAGTAACTAATTACGTTACTTCGTTACTTCTTATTTAAAGTAATGCGTTACGTTACTTTTGCGTTACTTTTT